GTTTTTGGAACAAGTATGTAGCATAATTAGGCTACATTAATGATCAAAGAGATTTTCTCTTTGTCTCTCCCTCAGCCAACTCCCTCATAGCTGAGGGTGGCGGTCAGAGGTTGGTGTCATTCCTGTTCAGATCAAGAAATTGACTACAATTACTCCCTTTTCGGAATGCTGTCAGGCAAGTCAGTCCTCATACTCAACCACTGAGCAGCACAACATGCTTGGTCCTAGAGAGCACTGTCTGTGGGGTCTAATTGAAGCACTCAGTTCCTCTTTCCCGCACTTAGGTCAGTATCGCTAATATCCTTCTTGAAAGTGGACTTTGAGGAAATCCTGGATCTAGGTAATCAGAATGCTGCCTGCTGCTGGAGGAAGACCTTCCGGTTGCTGTGGGACTGGAGGAACTGTCTCTCTCAGCTTCCTCTCCATTCAGTGCCATCTCACACATACTTCAGGGAATCACACAATGGTGAGGCATGGAAGTGACTCATTGTTTGTGGGATTTCGTCACCCAAGGTTCATATAGCTGTGGGAGGATGTGTCCAAAGGTTAAATTGAATGGGGAGGCAAACGGGAAATGAGGTTGAGGTACAGCACACCGTGGGAATTGAATTCAATCCAGGGAAAATTTAAGTGTTTTCTACTACCCATCAAGTCCCAAATACAACCCCTGGATGAACCAGTAGACTAACAGGAACCAGTGAAGGTGCTTGTGGTCACACTGATGAGTGCCTATGGAAAAGAATAGACATACAGTGCCTTCAGAAAGTATTCAGACCCCTTGACTTTTTCCACATTTTGTTACGTTACAGCCTTATTCTAAAATTGATTAAATTGTTTTTTTTTCCTAATCAATATACACACACAATACCCCATAATGACAAAGCAAAAACAGGTTTTTAGAAATGTTTGCTAATTTATTAAAAATAAAAAATAAAAATATCACATTTACATAAGTATTCAGACCCTTTACTCAGTACTTTGTTGAAACACCTTTGGCAGCGATTACAGCCTCAAGTCTTCTTGGGTATGACGCTACAAGCTTAGCACACCTGTATTTGGGGTGTTTCTCCCATTCTTATCTGCAGATCCTCTCAAGCTCTGCCAAGTTGGATGGGGAGCGTTGCTGCACAGCTATTTTCAGGTCTCTCCAGAGATGTTCGATCAGGTTCAAGTCTGGGCTCTGGCTGGGCCACGCAAGGACATTCAGAGACTTGTCCCGAAGCCACTCCTGCGTTGTCTTGGCTGTGTGCTTAGGGTCGTTGTCCTGTTGGAAGGTGAACCTTCGCCCATGTCTGAGGTCCTGAATGCTCTGGAGCAGGTTTTCATCAAGGATCTCTCTGTACTTTGCTCCATTCATCTTTGCCTTGATCCTGACTAGTCTCCCATTCCCTGCCGCTGAAAAACATCCCCACAGCATGATGCTGCCACCACCATGCTTCACTGTAGGGATGGTGCCAGGTTTCCTCCAGACGTGATGCTTGGAAATTCAGGCCAAAGCGTTCAATCTTGGTTTCATCAGACCAGAGAATCTTGTTTCTCATGGTCTGAGAGTCTTTAGGTGCCTTTTGGCAAACTCCAAGTGGGCTGTCATGTGCCTTTTACTGAGTGGCTTCTGTCTGGCCACTCTACCATAAAGGCCTGATTGGTGGAGTGCTGCAGAGATGGTTGTCCTTCTGGAAGGTTCTCCCATCTCCACAGAGGAACTCTAGAGCTCTGTCAGAGTGACCATCTGGTTCTTGGTCACCTCCCTGACCATGGCCCTTCTCCCCTGATTGCTCAGTTTGGCCGGACGGCCAGCTCTATGAAGAGTCCTGGTGGTTCCAAACTTCTTCCATTTAAGAATGATGGAGGCCTGTTCTTGGGGACCTTCAGTTACCCCAGGGGGCTAGTTACCCCACGTTACCCTACCAGGCGTTTTTGAAGCACACAGTGTTTCAACATGGGATTGATTTCAGCAACAATGTTGGGAAGACAAACAATCAGAGTGCTAATTATGGGAGGCCCAGTTGGGTCTCCTGAATGAGACATGACCCAGCTAGCACATAACATTCTAAGAACCATATATTTCTTAGAGCTTGGTGAGAGTGTGGTTGTCCTATGGTTATTTTGCATACAACCTTCCCACAACCTTCTAGGAATGGTGCAGGATACCCAGCTAGCACATAACGTTCTGAGAACCATATGTTTCTTAGGTGGGAATTTCAGTACTTCACTATAACGTTTCCATTTTCCATTTCCATTTTAGTCATTTAGCAGACGCTCTTATCCAGAGCGACTTACAGTTAGTGCATACATATTTTTTTTGTACATACTGGCCCCCCGTGGGAATCAAACCCACAACCCTGGCGTTGCAAGTGCCATGCTCTACCAACTGAGCTACACGGGAATATGTTTCCCACAGGTTTCCTCATGGTTCTATTTAAAGTCATGTTCTCAGAAAGTTCTGAGGACATTAAGAAACAACGAACTTCTGTGGGAATGTCTGTACTTCAGCATAAGGTTTTGTGCAGGTTTCCTCATGTTCTTAGAACATTAAGAAAACGTTCCATAAAAAACACAAGAAAAGATTAGTAACGTTCAAAGAAAGTTCTAAGAATGTTATTTAAAAAGAATGGAAGTAAACAGTTTGCCTGTTCTGGGAACATACATTTTTAGGTTGCAGGGAGGTTCTGAGAACGTTTTACTATGGTTCCCTGGAAGTTTTCGTGGGAGGTTTTATTAACGTCTGAGAACGTAAATTATAGGCTATTTGGAGGTTTTTGAAAAACGTCCTTAAAACTTTAACTGAATCCTATAATTTTCGTTCTCAGAACAAATTAAACGAACACCCCCACCTCTGTGTCATGGTAAAAAATATAAAATGTTTTTTTTATTTTTTTGCATAGGGCAACCAACCCATCATCAGCATCTGGCTCCGAGGCGCATTCCTCTGAGACAAGGCCATACCCCAAACTATTCAATAAAATGGACATCTGTGCCCAGTGCAGGTTGTCATCTCCGGACAGTCCCGTATCTCAGCCCCTTTTCAGGTGTCCCAACTTTTCTTTTTATAAAAAATGTATTAATTCAGACTACAAGAGCGTAGACCCAATGACAATCGCTGACAGGCTCTTGAACAGCTTCTATCCCCAAGCAATATGATTGATAAATAGCTAACAAAATTGCTTCACGGACTATCTGAGTTAACCTTGTATCTTTATTGACCTTTATTGATCTTTATTGACCTTATTGTCTCTATGTACATTCTGATTTTTCAGGGGGCACCCTCAACATACCTACTTCCCGTGGCTATACACAGATAAATTTCCCAAAACGGAAGAATTATTATTATTATTTATTTATTTTTAATTTAGGAACTCTGGGTCTTGAATTACTGTTGAGAGTTAGAATAGTAGAATACACAAGGTGCCATTTTGAAATTTGGTTGTGGATCAGCAGTTTTTCTCTTGTTATGTCAGTCACTACACAGTCACTCAATTAACCCATGTCAGCTAACGTTTTTTAGATTGATAAATGAGTCTAGCCAGCTATCTAAACTTGTAGTAATCATGGTCTAATTACCGCCTGGGGGGCCCCTATTGATTTTGTTAGTCACTCACTTAGGACCCCCAAAAGGCTAGGGCCGGCTCTGACTGCACCTGTGGGTATGGATGTGGGTACAAAGACCCACGAGTCACTGCGGCCAATCTTGATGAGTTCAGATTTTTTGTGGCCCCCACCCCCATCAAAGTTGCCCACCCCTGGTCTAGACTATCTTATCACATTCACCTTGCTTGACAGTTGTGTGGTGGAGGATGAAGAGTCTTACATATGTATATGTATCTTTTTTTAAAATATTATACTTATAACAGCTTTTCACCAGCAGGAAGAGTAAAAACATGTTTTATTCAATATTATTCGGTAACAACAAGGGTTAGTTAGGGTGTTTAACAACAATAACTTCATTATCCAAGTGTAGTGGTTGTAATGAGAAGGCAACATTTACTGTGAAATCTAGGAACAAAGTTGGTAAGTATTTTCCTCCAATGAGAGGAGGCGAGACAAAGGAAACGGAAGGCGAGGCATCCGTTCCATATCTAATGCACTGCCATTTTGTTTCTCAGTTGAAGATCCATTGCATCCACGGTTGTTCATGTGAAATGGCATTATTCGACGTTTAGATATTGCTTTATATTGTGTTTTTCCTTACATTTAAAGACTGTCTTGTTGAGAAGTAGTGGATGGTAGAGTAAACTACTGAATGACCAACTTTCCTTGTATATTGTGATTTAATTGTTATTGTTTACGTTTGGGTCGAAAGGCCGACGACGTTCTATTAGCTTGGTACTGTAGCTAGCTAGCTATCTCGGTGGCAAAATGGCGGCGAATACGACCCAGACAGCTCCAGCTGCTAACTGGTAAGACCTTAAATTATCAAGTTTAACATCATATCGAGCTTTCGGATATGTTCTCACTTTATTTTGACCTGTATTCTAGCTAGCTACTGTTGGACATTGACATTTAACGTTCGAAGAATGCCTGCGAATCGCAAGCGTTCGTCTCGTTCCCTTAGCTAACGTAGCTACGTTACCTAGCTAACGATAACGCGTAAGTTTACGGTCTAGTTAGCTAGTTAACGTTAGCTAGCTCCTGCTTTCCTGCAACTTAGTATCAGTTGGCATTCTCTACTAGCAAACACCACCAACTATGTAGTAGGTAGTTATTATGATAGGCAAGGTAATTAGCTAACTGGGTCACAGTCCCGTAACTTAACATCCATCTAAGACTCTCACTAAGTAACGTTATCTTCCAGACCGGGTCACAACAACTGCTAGTATCAACATGATTTACTTGCTACACTGCATGTTCTGCCCCATTTGACCATAGAGAAAGTCAATCTGGAGAACATTGGTCCAAGAGTAGACACTTGATGACCCCTCCTGGATCTGAAAGAGATTGATGGAAACTTCACCTTGATTCGCGTAGCTTTCACCTAGGTGACACGTCTTGTCATATCTACGATGGGTAATCAAGAACTGGTGTAATAGGGCTAATGGGTTGATTCCAGAGCGGGCAGTTGACCTACTCTTGTCTGACTTGTCATTTAATCGCTAGTTGTCAGCAAAGTTACTGTCTCTTAAATATAGTCTGGGCCAGGCGATGACTGTTTTATTCTGTAACAGCAGGGGTTCTTGCTATTCTTCATGTGGAGTCAAAGCACTCTTATTTTGAGCTTTGCTAAAAATACCCTCTGCTAACAGAGAGATATTTATCTCCCACCAATGAGAATGTCCCATTTTATTTAGGGGGCCACAGAAATAGCAGGCATTGAATCTTGTGTGTGTGGCAAGGCCATGCTCAAGCAGCTGCGATACTCCTTCAACAGGTTACCTTACTAAAATGTATTCATATACACTGAACAAAAATGTATCTAAAATGTTGTGCAAAAATGTGTTTACATCTGTTAGTGATCAGTTTGCCTTTGCCAAGATAATTCATCCACCTGACAGGTGTGGCATATCAAGAAGCTGATTAAACAGTATGATCATTACAGAGGTGCACCTTATGCTGGGGTCAGTAAAAGGCCATTCTAAAATGTGCAGTTTTGTCACAACACAATGCCACAGATGTCTCAAGTTTTGAGGGAACGTGCAATTGGCATGCTGACTGCAAGAATGTCAACCAGAGCTGTTGCCAGAGAATGTAATGTTAATTTCTTTACCATAAGCCGCCTCCGACGTCGTTTTAGAGAATTTGTCAGTATGACCAACAGCCTCACAACTGCACACCACGTTTAACCACGCCAGCCCAGGACCTCCACATTCGGCTTCTTCACCTTCGGTATCGTCTGAGAACAGCCACCTGGACAGCTGATGAAACTGGGTTCGCACAAACTGTCAGAAACAGTCTCAGGGAAGCTCATCTGCCTTTATGGTGTCGTTTGGGCAAGTGATTTGCTGGTGTCAACGTTGGGAACAGAGTGCCCCATGGTGGCGGTGGAGTTGTGGTATCGGCAGGCATAAGCTACGGACAACGAACACAATTGCATTTTATCGATGGCAGTTTGAATGCACAGAGATCCCGTGACGAGATTCTGAGGCCCATTGTCGTGCCATTCACCCCCCCGCCATCACCTCATGTTTCAGCATGATAATGTCGGCCCCATCTGTACACAATTCCTGGAAGCTGAAAATGTCCAAGGTCTTCCATTGCCTGCATTCTCACCAGACATGTCACCCATTGAGCATGTTTGGGATGCTCTGGATCGACGTGTATGACAGCGTGTTCCAGTTCCAGCCAATATACAGCAACTTCAAACAGCCATTGAAGAGGAGTGGGACAACATTCCACAGGCCACAATCAACTGCCTGATCAACTCTATGCGAAGGAGTTGTGTCGCGCTGCACGAGGCAAATAGTTGTTACACCAGATACTGACTGGTTTTCTGATCCACAACTTTTTTTAAGGTACGCTAACAGTCAAAAGTTTGGACACACCTACTCATTCAAGGGTTTTTCTTTATTTTTACTATTTTTTACATTGTAGAATAATAGTGAAGACATAAAAACTATGAAATAACGCACATGGAATCATGTAGGAACCAAAAAAAGGTTAATCTCTTTAAAGATCTGACCCTTTTTTCAATTTTCGCCTAAAATGACATACCCAAATCTAACTGCCTGTAGCTCAGGACCTGAAGAAAGGATATGCATATTCTTGATATAATTTGAAAGGAAATACTTAGAAGTTTGTGGAAATGTGAAATTAATGTAGGAGAATATAACACAGATCTGGTAAAAGATAATACAAACAAAAAAACATGTGTTTTTTGTTGTTGTTGTATCATCTTTGAAATGCAAGAGACAGGCCAGACAGTGATGTAGGATTCTAGATGTATATTAGAAGTTGTCCACCAGATGGCAGCAGTGTGTGTGCAAAGTTTCAGACTGATCAAAACATCACTACACAATATTTTGTATGAAGTCTGCCAGGAGTTTCCCCAAATTTGCTGAATATGTTTTCAAGTACATAACTATAGAGAACATACAAAAATGCTATGGTAATACAACATTTTATTTTGCACACACACAGGAATGTCATAAATGATGGATCATTACTTCCCTACAGAAAATACACTAATCTTCACACATCTAGATGGCAGGGTGGGTGTGGAGTCAGAGGTCAAACTGTAGAACCCAGTTCCTACATTTGAATATAAAAATTTTTATTTTTCAAACAAAACTACACTACATTTTATCCATGGGAACCTCAGGATGACAAATCAGAGCCAGATTACTGAATGTAAGTACATTATTTACCTTGAGGTGAATGTACCAAACCAGTTGCCGTGATGAACGTTTTTTGTTGTTGTGCACTATCCTCAAACAATAGCATGGTATTTTTTAGTTATAATAGCTACTGTTGGACACTGCAGTTTGATTAACAAGAATTTAAGCTTTCTGTCCATATAAGACATGTCTATGTCCCGGAAAGTTGGCTGTTGTTTACAACACCATTCTAGTCACATATCGCATATTGAGCAACAACCGTCCCGTATAAGGGACACCGATCCCGTAGAGGTTAAACAAATCAAAATGTAGTTTATGTTTGAGATTCTTCAAAGTAGCCAGCCTTGATGACAGCTTTTCACACTCTTGGCATTCTCTCAACCAGCTGAGCACTTGATGGCTGCTTTTCCTTCACTCTGCCGTCCAACTCATCCCAAACCATCTCAATTGGGTTGAGGTCGGGGGATTGTGGAGGCCAGGTCATCTGATGGAGCACTCCATCACTCTCCTCCTTGGTCAAATAGCTCTTACACAGCCTGGAGGTGTGTTGCGTCATTGTCCTGTTGAAAAACAAATGATAGTCCCACTAAGCAGATGGGATGGCGTATCGCTGCAGAATGCTGTGGTAGCCATGCTTGTTAAGTGTGCCTTAAATTCTAAATAAATCACAGACAGTGTCACCAGCAAAGCACCCCCACACCATAACACCTCCTCCAAGCTTTACGGTGGGAACTACACATGCAGAGATCATCCGTTCACCCACACCGCGTCTCACAAAGACACAGCGGTTGGAACCAAAAATTGCCAATTTGGACTCCAGACCAAAGGACACATTTCCCCCAGTCTAATGTCCATTGCTCATGTTTCTTGGCCCACTACGCCTCTTCTTCTTATTGGGTGTCCTTTAGTAGTGGTTTCTTTGCAGGAATTCGATCATGAAGGCCTGATTCACACAGTCCCCTCTGAACAGTTGATGTTGAGATGTGTCTGTGACTTGAACACTGGAAGCATTTATTTGGGCTGCAATTTCTGAGGCTGTTAACTCTAATGAACTTATCCTCTGCAGCAGAGGTAACTCTGGGTCTTCCATTCCTGTGGCAGTCCTCATGAGAGCCAGTTTCATCATAGCGCTTGATGGTTGTTGCGACTGCACTTGAAGAAACTTTCAAAGTTCTTGAAATGTTCCGTATTGACTGACCTTCATGTCTTAAAGTAAGGATGGACTGTCGTTTGTCTTTGCTTATTTGAGCTGTTCTTGCCATAAAATGGACTTGGTCTTTTACCAAATAGAGCTATTTTCTGTATACCCCCCCCTACTTTGTCACAACCCAACTGATTGGCACAAATTAACTTTTAACAAGGCACACCTGTTAATTGAAATACATTCCAGGTGACTACCTCATGAAGCTGGTTGAGAGAATGCCAAGAGTGTGCAAAGCTGTCATCATGGCAAAGGGTGGCTATTTGAAGAATCTCAAATATAAAATATATTTTGATTTGTTTAACACTTTATTTTTGGTTACTACATGATTCCATATGTGTTATTTCATAGTTTTGATGTCTTCACTATTATTCTACAATGTATTTTTTTAAAGTAAAAATAAAGAAAAACCCTTGAATGAGTAGGTGTGTCCAAACTTTTGACTGGTACTATATCTGTGACCAACATATGCATATGTATTCCCAGTCATGTTAAATCCATAGATTAGGGCCTAATACATTTATTTCAATTGACTGATTTCCTTAATTAACTCATAAATCTTTGAAATTGTTGCATGTTGCATTTATATTTTTGTTCAGTATAGTTACTGATTTCCAAAAATAATGAATCTTATCTCTTGAGTAAAGAATTGGTGAGCTGTAAATATCGCTGGTTTGGTGGTATTATCTTCCAAGTTAACAAACCTGAATCTTAGTCACGTTTGGTCATGTTAAATAGGCTGTATTCTCTTTTCAGAGTATTCCAGTGTATCGGACATTTGTTTGGTTTCCATACTGAATGACTGACAGTCAAGTGTCTCCTGTCTGTTGTAGGTCGTATGGAGCAGCACCAGCCAGAGGCCCAGACAGTCTCGGAGAACCCAGAGTGGGAGAAGGCCAGACAGGCACTGGCCTCCATCAGCAAGACCCAGAGCGCCACCAAGACCGCTCAGGCCAACCGGACCACAGCACAGGTGTGTGGATGCTTATGTGCCCATGTCTGTGTTTTGCTTCTGGAATGTGTTTGTTCACTTACTGTAATGCAAGTTCCCTACGTTAATGAAGTGAAATTCTGCTTAGGAAAGGGGTTTCATATTTTCCAGATTTCAGTTATATCGGTCTAATTCAGGGGTTCCTAAAGTTTTTGGCGCGCGACCCCATTTTGATATTTAAAGGAAATTGCGACCCAACCATGTAAAAAAAGTTATGTGATCAACCGCAAATGTTTACTTTTTAAATTGGGGCTATGACAGTCTTACAAATCAGTCTGACAGTACTTTTGACAGTATTTCAATCTGAAGGAAGTATGGTTCGAAGTGAATGAAATGCGTAAGAAAGGTATTGGGAAGTTCAAAAGATCATCAGGCAATAATTTTGTATGATATTCTGTGTAGAAAATAACATCACTATTAACCACATTTCCATCCACAGTTTTCATGCAAGTAAAGTCATATCGTATAAAAAAAATCACAACAGCTGTGATGGAAACATTTGTATAAATGCCGACAGATCATTTGTTCATTCGACATGGTGGGATATTTTTGTCTCTGTAAAATGTATAATGCGAGAAATGGCGGTGGAAATGTCTTTATGCGCAAATACTGATATAATAACCATCATATCGACGCAAACTTGGAGTCCACACAATGATATGGTGTGTGGTCCGCCCACTACAACTCGGGAAACCATGCAGTTTGTTAGGCTACAGATGAAGGAAATGATTATGAACGTCACAGGCTATTGAAAGTGCACGCTATGAACTTGACGCTCCTTTCCAATAAATATCGAGGGTCTTATTCTGGTGACATGATGATCGATGCTTGACTGCTGTTTGACAAATACAAATATCCATAATAATCTCATCATGTAGACTGTCCTACCTGCACATAATACCCGCACTGTATCTGCAAGCTGTTGGCTAGAGAGCATGTACCAAGACCAGAGTTGGCAAATTTGCTGTTTAACGCAACAGTTTTTGTGACCAAACTATCGGTGGAGTTGAAAATGTGACGGAAACACATTGAACTTTTGATTTTTGTGCACTACATCATCACGCACAGATTTTTCTCTGCAACAAGTCAGTTTGGTGGAAACACACAACTGGAGGGAAAATGCGTATATTTTCTTTATGCTGATTTTAGATTATTCGCATGAAAATTTGTTGCCAATTGAATGGAAATCTAGCTAGTGATGTTATATTTCCCCCAGTCTGATTTAGTGCCTGGTTGTCCATTCTGTTCTATTGAGTCCTGTGCGACTTGTGCGCATTGTAGCGGGAAACAGAATACACATATATGTTCCTGAAAGTCTTCTCTTTCAGTGATGGGGCCATAATATTTTGTAGCTTAAACCATTCCAAAAGAGTCACATTTTATAGGGAAAAAACTGAAACTACTCAGTTTATTACAACCATCTACCATCTAGCGCAGGGGTGTCAAACTCATTTTAGCTCAGGGGCCACATGGAGGAAAATCTATTCCCAAGTGGGCCGGACCGGTAAAATCATGGTGTATATATAACTTAAAAACAACAACTTCAGATTGTTTTATTTGTTTTAATACTATCAACATAAAACATAAAGCTGGAGCCTGAGGACAGTGTGTCCAAAATAGTACAAGCACAACATCACTATTAATCATAAAACACCTCAAGTTTATTTGAAAATTCTAAAGAAAAAACACACAAACACACAATGCCTCAGTGATTCACAGAAGTATATCAGGGTTTCATTTCTCAGGCAGAAATGTAGATACAAATAATGAAATCCTGTTCCCCAAACAAGTGCAAGAACCACAGAGTCAAGAATAGGTTAAATATACAAATCAATTAAAAACAATAGCACATCAACATAAAAACATATAAACATAAAGCTGGAGCCTGAGGACAGTGTGTCCAAAAGCACAACATCACTATTAATCATAAAACACCTCAAGTTATTTGAAATTCTGAGGACAAACAACACACAAACACACAATGCCTCAGTGATTCACAGAAGTATATCACAGAACTATATCAGGGTGTCTCATGCAGCACTTTAAGTGGGGTTGCATAGTTTATTTGACTCCTGATACCTGGCATCTTTTAGCTTTCACCAGCGCATCAATATCAGGCGTCACATCCTGAGTGGCAGCCAACTTCAGGATGTGATTCAAGTGCTTGTGCGTGAGCCTTGAGCGCAGCTTTGTTTTATTTATGCTCATTACAGAGAACTTGCTCACAAAGATATGTGGTTCCAAACATGCACAACCGTTTTGCAGCGAGGGCTGTCAAGTTGGGGTAACCTGGCAAGAGATTCTGATAAAATGTGTCCAAGCCAGCTGCGGCAAATTTGCCCTTCAAATCCGAGTCACACTGCAAGTCTATTATTTCAAGTTGGATGCTGACGGGCAGATCAGAGGGATTCACGGTGAATGGCGAACAAAAAACTTTGAAGTCTTTCTCCAGTTCACCAAAAATCTGAAAGCGTTGCTCAAACTCCCTTAACAGTCCCGTTATTTTATCTTTGAACCGCTTCATGTCTGCCACATGTTGGGTCGCGCACACATTTTTCAGACAGGGGAAGTGAGCTGCATCACCACCGGCGAGTTGCGTCTCCCACAATGACAGCTTCAACTTGAAAGAACGTATTTTACATTTACATTTTAGTCATTTAGCAGACGCTCTTATCCAGAGCGACTTACAGTTAGTGAATACATATATATATTTTTTTATACTGGCCCCCCGTGGGAATCAAACCCACAACCCTGGCGTTGCAAACGCCATGCTCTACCAACTGAGCTACATCCCTGCCGGCCATTCCCTCCCCTACCCTGGACGACGCTGGACCAATTGTGCGCCGCCCATGAGTCTCCCGGTTGCGGCCGGCTGCGACAGAGCCTGGATTCGAACCAGGATCTCTAGTGGCACAGTTAGCACTGCGATGCAGTGCCTTAGACCACTGCGCCACTCAGGAGTATGCTGTCATAATACTGCGTGGCAACTTTGTTGCGCCCTTGCAGCTGTTTGTTCAAGTTATTCAGGTGCTCTGTAACATCCACCATAAATGCAAGGTCCTGCATCCATTCTGCGGAATTAAATTCTAACACTGGTTTGCCCTTTTCTTCCATGAACTGTTCAATTTCTTCTCGTAAATCAAAGAAACGCCTCAGCACAGCACCTCGGCTTAACCATCTTACCTCAGTGTGGTATGGCAGGCCATAGATGTGGTCTTTCTCTCTGAGAAGGCTGTCAAACTGACGGTGATTCAGGCTTCTGGATCGGATGAAATTAACAGTTTGGATGACCACCTTCATGACGTTATCCATCTTTAATGACTTGCAACACAAAGCCTCCTGGTGCAAAATACAGTGAAAAGTCCAAAAATCACGTCCTCCATTTGCAGATTGCACTTTCTCTCGGAACTTTGTCACAACGCCTGCTTTTTTCCTGATAATTGAGGGCGCACCATCTGTAGCCATGCTGACAGCGCGGGACCAGTCCACTCCGACCCTGTCCAGCGCGCCGACGAGTGCAGTGAAAATATCAGCTGCTGTCGTTGTATCTGTCATCGGCACCAACTCCACGAACTCCTCTGTGACGGTCAATGTGTCATCAACTCCGCGGATGAAAATGGCCAGTTGTGCAACATCTGTAATGTCCGTGCTTTCATCAATTGCAACCGAAAACGCAATAAATGACTTTACTTTTTGCTTCAACTTGCTGTCCAAATCCACTGAAAGATCGGAAATCCTGTCTGCAACTGTGTTTCTTGTCAGGCTGATATTTGCAAAAGCCTGGTGCTTTTCAGGGCACACAATCTCTGCTGCCTTCATCATGCATGTTTTTACAAATTCACCCTCACTAAATGGTTTTGAAGCCACTGCGATTTCATTAGCAATGAGGTAGCTAGCTTTCACTGCAGCGTCACTGATGTCTCGGCTGTGAGTAAACACAGACTGCTGTTTCTTCAGACCCACCAACAGTTCATTCACCTTCTCTCTTCTCCGCTGTCCTTGAAAGTTGTCATATTTGTCGGCATGAAGACTCACATAGTGGCGACGAAGGTTATATTCTTTCAGCACTGCAACATGCTGTGAACACACCAAACATACAGCTTTCCCATTCAATTCCGTGAATAAATAGAAGGATTTCTTGGAACACTCTGCACTCTGCGTCCACTTTTCTCTTTTTTGACAGAGACATATTGGGGCAATGAGGGTGCCAAAGCACATAATGTTAAAAGTAGAAGCCGTATTAAATATCGCGGGCCAAAACAAAGTAGCTCATCCGGACTGGCTGCACTTGCTTGACCTATTTGCTCTGCCCCGGTATAAACAGTTTTCTTGCTTAACACAATTGCTATTGCGCCATCCAGTGGACACAATTGGAACAGCAGTTTATTTTATTGAAAAATTGCAGCTAATTTTTATACTTTACAAAATCATCTCGCGGGCCGGATTAAACCCGTTTGCGGGCCTGATCCGGCCCGCGGGCCGGACGTTTGACACCCCTGATCTAGCGGCTACCGGACGTTACTGACGTAACCTCGGTTCTATGAACCAAGCGCAATTGTTAATTATTTTTACTTGAGAATTTCTCCCACGACCCCATTTTGAAATGAAATGATGGTCTAATTGTTGCAATTATTGGTGCCTATTCTAAAGCCGGGTGTACACTACACGACTTTCAAAATCCTAACATCGCTGAGCCTCTCACATTAAACAACTGTCTTTCCTGTCATTTTTTTTTGTCTTGCCAACGTAGTGGTGCGCACAATAAACGATGTGGCACAGACTGGGTCACACACTACAAGATTCTTCACCTGGTTGTGAGGATTCTCCATACCACGCTGTCTCGCCAAAACAATGATATTATGTGATAACATTTAACGTAGCTACAACGAGTTGTGGCTCAAAACAGCCTCATAAACGTTTTCAGTCAGGCATTAACAATTCCCATACAAAGTTGAAATATCTAGCATACATTTTGAATTGAATAACATTGCTTGTGAACTTCAGAGCTGTAACGATTTTAAGCTTTGGTTAAAGGCAAATACAAACACATACTAGTAGTAGTCATCGCTCCGGCTCCAGAGTCTACATATTCTGGATGATGCAAAACAACGTCATCTCGCTGGCTTCTTCTCTGGCGAGCTCTCATTGGCTATTGCTGATCATCGTTCTCAAAACTTGTCATTTCACAGCTCACACTACAAGAACATTGCAGATTTTGTGCCAATAAAATCAAACATGTTTGAAAATATTGGGACGTCTGGAATTGCTTAAAGACGAGATCGGTAGCCCTCAGATTGAGTCTGACCCGCTCACATTAAACGAGCGTCGGTGATGGCCGCGTGCCCAGAGTAGGCAACGACATGGGGATTTTGTCTCCGATCTCCAAAACATGTCTGGGACAGCTAAATCGGGCCCAAAATCGTGTAGTGTACACCCGGCATTAATCTCACAGGCGCTTGTTATTGGATACAATGTGTTACCTCAACAGTTATCTTACCTTGACGAGCTGTACAGCATGGACCATTTTCTTCCTGATACAACACACTGTCTGATCTGGGCCCGTATCCACAAAGTGTCTCAGAGTACGAGTGCTGCTCTAGGATCAGGTCCCCACCTGTGTATGTAGTCTTTAATAATTAGGATTCTAAAAGGCAAAACTGATCCTAGATCAGCGCTCCTACTCTGAGGCTTTGTGGATACGGGCCTAGGTCTTCCTGACTTTTCCCCTGAATATGATTCAAATGGATGAGTAGGCTTTCGTTTTGATTTTCTGTGTTGTACACGCACATCCCTCCAGAATCCAATGTGTTTGAGGGGTGTAATCTCTCCCATCTCTCTTCACTTAGTTGTCTGTTTGTGTGTGTTTCTAGGCTGGTCAGTTTCAGCCTGCAGTAACTGAGTCCACAGCCATACAGCAGCAGCAGCAACAACAGTACTACCAACAGTGGTACCAACAGAACCAGCAGCAGCCGTATCCTGGGTACACCTACCCCTACAATTACTACTACCCCATGGCCCCGGGCCCTGTAAGTGTACATATCCTCCACATTTCAGATGAACTGTAATGTAGTCCTTGGCAATGATTTCACCGACACTGATGCCGGCTTTATGCCCTATAGCGTTTAGATAAGGAATTGGAATTGTTAGATTTAGCCTACACATTACAAAAACTGCACTTTGCTACTATAAATGAACCGTTCACACAGAATGCACAACATAAAACCATTTATTGAAGCCAAGCCAGTACCACATTTTGAAGTGTGTTCCTCTAATTCTCCAGTATGGTGGTGGTGGCTATCCTCCTCAGGGCCAGTATGGTGTACCTCCAGGACCTTACCCCTCTCCCACCACTCCAACTGGACAGGTAACCATCAGAAAACTGCTGCTGTTGCTACTTCATCAATCACGTTTTCAGTTAACTTCACTGACTTCCTCTATTGCAGTTTATTTATGAATCATTGACTAAATTATTCCCCAATGCCAGACATTTGTGTAAAAATTACTTTCTGTTTCCGGATAGAAGTGCACCATTGTATGAATTAAGATGTAATTGATGACCGGCATTTGAATAATGTTCTATTTCTACCCTGACAAGCGTCCCTAATTATCTCCCATGGTCAGGTACAACCCTACACTGTTGATTGGTCAATGCATCTTGCTGCCTTGTTGACAAAATGACAGAGCGGCACAGATTACTGTTTGATTTGAGAAGGGCGCTCCTCCCTCCCCGCTTTCGTCTGATGACGTAACAGGCCTTTGCCGGTGCCCTGCGGTTCAGCATAATCAAATCCGCCCACTGAGAATCTGTCTTGAGCTGAAGTCTCTTGCAGTTAGAAAGCTTTAATCTGCATTTCTCCTTTCATATTTAGATATTCTCAGTTTCAAGTTTTTGCAATCTCTGCGGTTTATTACCTTTCTTTCACAATAGTCTATTTTTCCCCCATCTATTATTTTCCCCACATTCCCAGCCTCCATCCCTGCCCGTGATGGATGACAAGTCCTCCAGCTACCCCCCTCAGCCTCAACCCCCTCCGCCTGCTGCCCCTCAACCACCCCCCCAGAGCCCCACGAGCTCTGAGCATCCCCCACCCCCTCCTCCCCCAGCCGTCCCTCCCCCTCCCAACTCCCAGTACCCCCTTCCTCCAGGGCAGAACTCCTACAACCCCAACAACCCCATGCCCTACCCCAACAACGACCCCAACCAGATGAGAAGTTACAACCACAACCAGGGCAGGCCCAGCTATGGGCAGAGCTACCAGACTCAGAACTCGTACCAGCAGCAGCAGAATAACAACCAACACCAGCAACCAGGACCGGGTCAGTATGGACCAGGAGCTGGGAGAGGAGAGGCCAACAAAAACAAGAACCATCAACAACAACAACAGCCACAGCAACAAGGAGGACAAGGACAGCAGCTCTGGCACCGCATGAAACGTTAGTGTGTGAGGGTGTTGACGTTGTGTGTTTGTGTTCAGGTATCTTAAGCATAGTTTTTCTGTTAACTTATCTTCAGGTTTGTGTTTGTTTCCCATCACTTGGTGTTATTGTCTTTGTTTCAATGCCTTCTTTATTGTCTTCCACAGAGGCACCTGGAGCAGGTGCAATGAAGTTCAACATTCCCAAGCGACCCTACGTCATGACCAATCAGAGTTTCCCTCCTGGGGAACAACCCACCGGATTGGCTGCTACTCCTTCCTCCCCAGCTGCTGCTCCTGCTGCACCTGGCGGTGCCCAGACACGGTGAGGAGACAGCTACTAATGACACCAATATATGTCTTTACTATCCTTACTACCTACTGGGGAAGAATGATTCTTCTTAATCATGTAATTCAATGCACATCAAAGACCCTTGATGTGTTTAAAATCTCCATCCAATAGGCTTCTGAAGTACCATGTCCCTCTTTCTCAAACTAATCATTAGTCACTTCAAATTGACCTAGTACCCCCAAACCAGTTTCCTTCCCCCCCGATTTACTGTTGCGCTGCTGATTATAAAAATGTTGCCCTCAGGCCCCAGGACTGGCCCCAGGCGATGAAGGAGTATGTTCAGCGCTGCTTCACAGCCTGTGAGAATGAGGAGGACAAGGACCGCACCGAAAAGGGGCTGAAGGAGGTCCTACAGAAAAGACTACAGGATGGGTCTGCCTACACCATCGACTGGGACCGCGAGCCTCTGCCTGAGTGAGTGGAGCAGTTGTTCTTGAAAAAGCCTGATGTTTCACTGTCTGGAACTTATAAAGCCTGAATCCCATTTTGGAGACCAAATGCCTCATTTCTGCCTAAACCCTATCAAGAGGTGCTAGTCATCCTAACCCTTTCTCTCCTCTCTCCCCATCCAGACTGAAGGCCAAGCAGTCTCGCTGGGAGGCTGTATCCACCCAGAGGACTCTGGAGAGTTCCTGTGGGCCGAGGTGGGGGTACAGGTGGGGCTACGCGGGGCAGGGGTGGTGGGGCCAGGCTGGGGCACTACAGGAACGTCTTCTCCCAGAGAAGCCCCTCATCCAGCTCCTCAGGCTCCTCCTCTCGCTCCCCCTCCCCCTCTCACAGCCGACACAGGGACCGCAATGGCCAGAGACACAGGCGCAGGTGAGAGACAGAAAGAGTGTGTATGTTTTGGGCTAGTCCAGTGATTTATGTTTTTTCGTCATAATTGGCCAGGTGTATTATTTGTCCCAACCTGCTTTATTATAGGTCAAATATTCCCCTTAATATAGTATAATGATAGCCACTCTAAAAAGAGAAAGTATGCTGTGTAGTTTTATCTGTTGTTGTAATGTCCTGTTTGTTCTCCTCTTCCAGTGACTCTGAGTCCCAGTCGGACAGCAGTATGTCCAGTGACCTCCGAACCCAGCTTCCCCGGCGCAACCAGAAAGGAGGGCGTGGCCGTGGGGGCGACAGGGACCGGGGCAGAGGGGGTGGAGAGAGGGGACGAGGAAGGGGCGGAAGAGGCAACAGAGGGCGGAGGTAAACAAGCATGTTTTGGCCTAAAGTAAAATTCCACTCAATGTTTGTGCAAGTTTTCAGGATGTATAACTTTCAAAATACAGAAATACAGCCGGTATGATGCATTTTGCATCATATTGTGCAAAACTCTGCATCATATGATGCTAAATGCATCATACCGGCTGTATTTTGAAAGGTATATATCTTTACTTTATTGCTGACATGCAAAACATTCTGGGACTTAATCAACAATGGACTAATGAAACAAATACCAAAAGTTAGTTATTGGGTGAAAATTGACCCACAAACCAATATTCACCTTTCCCTGATTCTCATTGTGCTGATCACATTTCTGCTTCTCTTCTCCTCAGAAACATGGATGACGCTAACTCTACCGTCCTGGGCAAGAAGAGGAAAGGTGGGAACGCCGGCCTAGACTTCCACGACCCCCACCGGGAGGCCAAGAAACAAAGCCGAGCGGCACGCTTCCACAACACCAAGATGCGCTCAGAGCCTCTGGTGCTGTCCATCAACAACCTGGAGCTGCCCAAGGAGGACCTGAGCTGGGACGACTGTCCCATCGTGGGCACCTGCCAGGAGATCACCAAGATCTACCTGAGACTCACCTGTGCCCCCGACCCTGCCACCGTGCGCCCCGTATCTGTGAGTATCGCCTGTCACCTGGAATGAGATGATCCTTATTTGAGACCCATCTTCAGATGTAGTGATACTCGTCTCCTAATCCCCGGTCTCTGGCCAGGTGCTGAGGAAGTCTCTGTTGGCGGTGAAGGCCCACTGGAAGACCCGCCAGGACTACCCCTACGCCTGTGAACAGATGAAGTCCATACGACAGGACCTCACGGTCAGTTTACATGTCCATTTTAGTTTTGTCTAACAGGCACTTTGTCCTCACTCGGTATTTGAGTCCTATTGTATGAGGATGTGAAAACCAGAGGCGTCTCTCTTCTCCTTTCAGGTCCAAGGAGTTCGTACAGAGTTCACAGTGGAAGTATACGAGTGCCACGCACGCATCGCTCTGGAAAAGGTGAGAGGCCATCTCCATACATTGTCCCCTCGCTACTTTTAGAGACAGTCATCTGACATCATATTTGATGTCAGGTGTCGTATTTGAGTTTAAAGGTGCGGTGTCGTGCTAGATGTGCATTCTTCTCTAAATGTTTGCGTGGTTACCAGGGCGACCACGCAGAGTTCAACCAGTGCCAGATGCAGCTGAAGGCCCTGTATAAGGACAACCCATCAGAGAACATAGGGGAGTTCACTGCTTACAGACTACTCTACTATATCTTCACTAAAAACTCTGGAGGTAACTTACCACCTGCCCACACCTTCCTGATATTACTCATCAATCATTATATTTCTGCATTGGATTTTGGCTCGCATAGCATTGAGCTTAATGTCCTGATTTTTTTGGTTGTGTGTTCGCCCCCCCCCCAGACATCACGACTGAGCTGGTGTACCTTACTCCAGCGCTGCGGGCGGATGAGTGTGTGTCCCACGCTCTCTCCCTCCGCGCCGCCTGGGCTCTGGGAAACTTCCACCGATTCTTCCAGCTCTACCGGAGAGCCCCACGCATGGCATCCTACCTCATAGACAAGTTTGTGGAGAGGGAGAGGATGATCGCTCTCAGGGCCTTATTCAAAACGTAAGTCAGAGGCCTTTCATCGAAGTCCATGGTTCCTACCAATTCATCATTTTACATAGTTGTATGTAGGATAGAAATGCTCCAACTTTAAATTGCCTCTCCCTCTCTTCTCTGTGTTTTTCCCCAGATTCAGACCAGACTTGCCGGTGGAGTATGTGCAGTCCAGTCTGGGCTTCCTTTGTTTAGACTCTTGCATGGCCTTCCTCACAGGCCTGGGGGTCACCTTCTTCCCCTCTGACCCCAGCAAGATAGACTGCAAAACCAGCTCAGCCTGTCTGGCAGCCTCCTGAGGGGGTGGGGGGTTTACCAGGGAGGGGGGAAAGCACACTAAAGGGAGATACTAAGGGATAGACAGGGTGAAGAATGTACCCTACAGTTCTACTGCACTGCAGTTCAGACCTGTCCAATCATTATATAGAGGGAGACTAGTGGTTAGACTGACACTACAATTAAGTCCTGTAGAAAGAGGGAGATATGCACTAGGACCCACTAAATCACTTAATGGTAGAATGCAGTGAGAATCCCACCCACAGATGCACTGCGCTCACAGATATGGACTGTATAACAAGCGTGCGAGGGAGATTATCTGCATACATGCTGCACATCAAATACATTTAGAGTAGCTTAGCTCCACACATCTCTGATCAACACAAGATATTAATTATACCATCGACTTAGAACATTTTAATGACGAACAGATGATGTTAGGGATTACTTCAATTTAAGACCCGAAGATCAAGCGCCAACTCACACAGATCAGGGACGAGCGTAGCCTCAAGGTCTCCCATCCACTATCGCTCTCAGAAGTTTTAAGCTAACAGTGTTCTGTTATGTTTTTCCTTCCCTCAAGTCAACAGCCTCAAACTCAAGCGAAGACGAGCCTTGAGAACCCAAGAGAGAAATGAAAATGAAAGGAGCTAAAGTCATCCCTCAAGCCCTCATCCAACAGGCTGCTCGTCTACTCCAAAACCAAACCAACAACCAGAGAAGAGGTTCTTCTGTTCAGGTGTTCCGGCTCTAGAGACTGTGCTAGCCCTTTGCTGCTTTCTGGAAGCCTCCAGTGATCCAGCGTCCAATCCGGGAGAAGAGGAGATGGTGGTTTGTATGCCCTGTCCTGCCCCCCCTTCCCCCAAGCTGTCTACGATTGGCCATCAGGTGGGGAAAGTTACCCCCACCTTCCTGTTCCTGCCTAGCCCTGCACACTTGGCCCCCCTGAAAGGGATTGACTGAGAAATCTAAAGGTTCTGATTGGCTCCTTGCCCAGTTTGGCCACAGCCATCCTTACCACCCAGTTGTCCACTACCCACAGTCCCCTGCTTCATCCTTCAACAGTCGTCACCCACAGTTCATCAAAGTCTGACCACAAAGTTTACATCACAGTTATATCTGCTCTCCAATATAGTAGACCTCCAAGCCTGGTGTCTAGTCCCTTCTGGTAGGCATTGACTTATAAAGTGTGATGGTGGATACAGTCCCCTAGTGTTTACCAAGAAGGGCCTCTGCAATGCCTCGGTATGTGTCCAGGAGGCAGGATATCCACCTATAGTCCATCTATCCCCTGAGAGCAGGCAAGGAGGTAGTCTCCCACCCCTTAAGAGTACCAAATAACCAAGTTGAGGCTCTGGATGAGCCTGTGGTGTTTCCTGAGTTACCCGATCAACAGCCCCCTCAGCTGCAGCTGCATGGAATATCGGTGGTCAAGCGCCAAGGAGAATTCAGCTCCACCAAGATGGTGGCAAAGTCTCCACCTTCAAATGTGGCGGCTGGATCAATTCCACCATACAACAGATGGAGATGAGATCGCTGTCTGCAGATGGAGATGAGATCGCTGTGTGCAGATGGCGGCACGTCTGGGTTTGTATGCTCCACGCTCTGTTCAACAAGGCTGAGTATGTGTGGCTGGTAAGAAAAAATGACTCTTGGTGTGCTGGAAGGAGGTGGATGACAGCACGGCAATGATCACCTGGTATTCACTATGGGCTCATTCACAAACACTAACCATTGGTTTGGATTAAGGTGTATGATATGAAGTCTATGGTAATTGCTTAACTTCCATTCACAGGTGATGATAGTGTGTCTGAAATTGTGCTGTAAAATTAAGGGCGCCAGTATTAACCCTTGGGGAACACCCTTCATTGGCAAGACAATGATAAAGCCAAACTGTCAAATTATCCAGGTGCAGATACCTTTTAAACCTGAATTTGTGTAACTAACTAGTGTAGAAAATTGAACAAACTGTCTCAATTGTAAAAGGACATTCTGCCACAAAAGGTGAATTTAGGACATTAATGTTTACTGCGAAAGCACACCACTCTGCTTATCAAATGTTTGTAATCAAATAATCTGGTTATATATTTAAAGCTAAGAAATCACCATGTGATATTTTTAAACCCCATTGCAGACATTTTGGTTTTCATTAAAGAAAGGTGAGAGTGAAGGATTGTAGAGTAGTTATTTTGGGGTCTGGCTGGAATGTGGTTTTAACCAATCAACATTTAGGATTAGACCCACCTGTTGTATAATAGGCTACATCGCTGTGTATTCTCTTGATAAGATCTGAAGAGAGGAGACTAGTGTGGAGAGTTAATTGTAAATCAACATAATTGGCAATACATAAATATAACCTAGAAATGGAACATGAGTTGGTGATAACAGTTTACCTAACATCAGCATATATACCCCTTGTTTTCAGGCATGACCTTGAAGAGTATTACCTTGATTCAGATCTTGAGCTTGAGGTATTTTAGTGCGTTCAGTGCCATTGCAGAGATATAAAATGTTGTCACATGCGCCGAATACAACAGGTTCAGACTGTGAAATGCTTACCTACGAGCCCTTTCCCAACAATGCAGAGTTAAAAAGTATGAAAAATTATCAAAATAAAAAAGGGAAATGGTAACACAATAAAATAACAATATATACAAGATAGGAGTCTACTTTCAGGATGAACAGAAGTCGGTGTGCTGTAAAAAATGTCCTGTGTGCTCATCTATAGAGTAGATGTGTCAGTATCTAATGTACATTGTTGTGGATTCAGTTGACCTTTTTTTTCTTCTTCTCAGTAACTAGTATTCATTGATCATTTTGATATTTATGTTCACCAGGGTAAGTGTAATTTTGACAAACGTATATGGTGAATGAGAAGCTGAAACATTTTAGATATGGGTAATAAACAATTAATTCTAAAAGACACTTGATGTGAATATGTAAATTGTAATTACCAATCTAAAAAGTCGGATGATTTCCAATACATTGCCTATCACCTTTTTGATATTGCCGTGGATTAAAATGGGGAATTGATAGTCACTGCTTTTTGTAGTGCAAACACTAGCGTGATTTCTACCCTACATTTTTGACAAGGTTTTACAGGGATTGAAAATGGGATTGCTGTATAAACCAAATATTTTTCTTGCCAAATTTCACTCAGATATGCTAACTTGGTTGACCCCTTTAATTTCTTACTCATTTTTTAAATGCTCATCTTTTGTAAACCCATTTTTTAGATTTTATTTCATGCATTTCTGTGTCATCATTTCTGGCTATCTGTACTCATGAACCCCTTAGAGCAGTGGTATTCAAAGTCGGGATCGTGACCCCTAGTGGGGTCGTGAGGGAACTGCAGTGGGGGGGTCGCCAAAATGTTACAAAATAAATGCAAAAACATAGTTCATATTGTATGGGACAATATAGAAAAGTTTTTGAGAAAGATCATTTTTATTGAGTAAATGTATTTATTGGTTTCTTTTCATTTTGATGAGATGAATGTGTAATGAATTGAAGGTTATTGAAGGTTAGCCTCTTTTTTGGGGGGGTTGTCAGTAGATTTGGGGTGGGTGGGGTCGTGAGAAATTCTTCCGGGATAGAAAATTTGGTCCCCAGAAATTCTGGTGGAAAAAAATGGGGTCCCCGCTGAACAAGTTTGAATATCACTGCCTTAGAGATAAGAAATGTACTAAAACCACCACACAGCATCCTGATGGCAAGAAAAAGGTTTGGTTGAAGGCACTGCACTCCCATCAGCCAAGAAACAAACTGTTACTGTGTGTGTTTGTGTTGCTCAAGTCTCCCATTTGTCAATTTCTTTGGAAGTAGTTTGTCATAGGGCAAACCCAGACCTGTTTCAGATTAACAGTGACTTGGCTGTTCTTTGGCTGGTGTGAGTCAGTGTTTTGATATGGTAACATATCAATATGGTAACGTAATTATGTTATTATTATTATTAATATTCTTAATGGTTGGATTGAGAGAGCCTGTAATATAATCATATGACTGCAGTATCAGTTTCAATATGAATGTCTTGATAGGTAATCCGTCTTCTCAGCAACCCGTCTACCCATTTATAGACCCCTTTGTTTCATTTGACTGGCAGTATTTTGTGTGTTATGTGCTCTTGTTTCGGTCACTAAGATCCTTAATTTCAGAAGTTGTACTCATGACTCAACGTGTCTCTTCTCTCCTCCTCTTCACCTTCCTATCCTCTGTCCCTCTCTTTACTTTTCCCCACTCCCATCACCAGTCCTTTTCTCTTATTTTTCTTCTTGCAGTACTGCATTACAGGAGCAAAAGGAATGTGAAAAGAGAGCACCTCCTCCCCAGCCTCCAGAAGAAAGCTGGAGAGAGGGAAAAGTGTGAGAAATGCAAGACTTGATACTGCCAACTCAAGTTCAAGCCATTTTGTCGCTATGACCTGAAATGTTGCAGTGTCTTATACATGGGAGCCTGACTTGAATTGTATTACGTTTTATTTCTGAAAATACATTTTAATCAAGTCTTTTGAATGCATTTTATTTGACTATTCTTAACTTGAATCAAGAAAACTATTTTCCACTCTAGTTTGCCAGAAACCATTTTGGAACATTGTTGCAATTTCCGTCTATAGTTAGGAATGCCTATACCTGTAAACCATCAAATGTGTTAATGTATACTGTTTGTCCAGAAACATTTGCATGTGTTTTTGTTTTTCATAAACCAGTATGTTCCTTAGAAATAGCTTTATCATTATGTCAACTTCTCGAGTACAGATCAATATTTGGTAAGGCAACCTTTTTTGGCATGTGAATTCTTGGCGTCTCTGTAACCTCTTGATGTATTTGTCAGCTGCCTCATGTTGTCTACTGGTAAATGAATTTGGCCACATTTAGGTATTTGTCGTAACTTTTCACCTGCCAGATACAACGGGAGTTAATTTAACTTGGTAACACAGTAATAAGTATCTCTAGCATGTAAACTACTTTTTTGGATTTCAAATGGATCTGGACATACAGCATACAATTTCCATTATATCAAGGATAATACTCAATTCCATTCTATAC